GAGGGCAGAAACCACCTTTCAGTTTTGTGAAGAAAGAAATAAAAAATGCTCACAAAGCATACATATTTTGGCAATTCTCAATAGCTCATTCCTTGGTTATTTATAGGTCTGGAAATTTTAATTTTAGTAACAGCAACTTTTTTGGTTTGTGATGGGGGCGGATGTTCAGATTGTTAGAAAAGCAGCCAGGAAAGGTGAGAGGATTTCCATATCTCTATCATGCTGCTTGTTTGCTTTGACCGCCAGGTACACTCAGATCAGGTAAACTGAGAAACACCGATGTTGCGAGCAAGATTTCTTCCTGGCATGCCTGCCAGATCACATAAAGCCTGCATGATATCTGCATAAAACAGCATGCAAATTCAGGGCAGGATATCAGAACAAAGAGCAAGGTATGTGATATATATCGTGCCCATGTCATATGTCTGCAATCATTCACTACAGGATGGAATTTTGCTCAAAATGCAGTCAAGATGTCTATATTTATCACAAGTGCAGAACTATTCAGACTTCAGTATCATACCAGTACTTGTTCTGTGGGTGCACGCATTTTACAGAATATACCCCTCCCTGATCATTTACTGCAGAATTATGTAAAAGACACTGGGGGGGAGAGGGGAAAATGATTAGAACACATAAACATTTTCAAAATAAAGAATAAAACTATATGTATAAATTACTATGCACACAGGTATCACAGACTTTGGATATATTCCATGGAAATATTCATGTCTCCAACTATATTAAATATATTTATCTATGAGATTTTACTATACATCAGTCCTGGAATTTCTCTTCCATAATGTATTGGCTATTGTTGTCTTGAGAGTTAGGCTAGGCATGGGGAGTTTCAAAGGACGTGCAAGATAGAAGAAAAAAAGAAAAGCAAAAATGAACTTTGTGTTTTGGGACATTATGAGGGAAGACTAGTATACCTTCCCTCACAAGTACTTTTACAGCATTTTGATAAAACAGAGAAGTGAAAATCTCAAACCTGTTAGCAATACTGACAGCAATCATCCCGAAAATCTTTTTGTAGAAAAAAAAAAAAAAAAGGAGTAAGATAGTATCAGTTGAAAAGTCAATGTCATTTGATCACAGCCATATTCTAAAAGCACTACCCAGATACTAATGAATCTCTACAATCTCTTGTTCGGTAGATGAATTGTTATCTCCCTCCTTTGGAAAGGAGGCAGGAACTCAAGATAAGGGGTACATCTAAATCTTCAAAATCACACCAAAAGCAAGTTTGTTCCAGAATTACCAAATTAACTTCCAATTTTTTGTGTGCATGCGTGTATATATGTGAACACATACACACATAAAGAGAAAGAGAGAGAGAAAGATAAGTCAGTAAAAAAAAATAATGTACCCCAAAAAACCCTTATTAATAACAGCATAGACAGGGTCTGAAGTATTTCAGTTATTTTAGCTGTAGTAGTAATAGGAGACTTCAGCTCCAAAACCCAAAATGGAGCAAAACTGTGAAAAGTTCAAAAATATTAGAACTAAAGCTGAACAGAGAGATGGTAGGAGTATCATTAAATAAGTGCAACATGCCTGATCACTTAAGAGCAGCTCCAAAAAGACTGAGGTAGAGCACAGCTTCACTGTAAGGGGTCGAAAATAAAAATTGATGGTAGAACAACTTCTGTATAACTCTTTAGAGGCTAGAGAACAAAAACAAGAGGGATACAAGATCTTAGCCACTCATGAGATGTACAGCTTTAATGGGATGCATAAGATGGCCCGAAACAGAGCCCTGGATTAAATTCCAAGTTGCCTTTCCCCTTCAAAAAAGATCTGGAAACGAAGCAGATACAAAGCTAGCCATGCATATCAAACACAGGAAGTCTTTCACTCAGCACTAGCATGTGCTGGTAGTCTTTAGCAAAAAAATCTATAAATCTGAGGAAAAGCAGCAAAACACACTGCAGCACATAATCCAGAAAAGATTCAGCTTTTCCATGACAAATCTTTAGCGCTATTCTACTTTGTTTTCCCCCAAAAAATAAAATAAGAATAAGCCTCCTGACTTATGCTCTCAATTTTACAGCAGCTGAGAGCTGTGAATTTGCTTCAGCCTTTCTCATGGACTCCAATTCAAGTCAATGGGGATTTCCTATCATGTGGGCTCCTATAGCAAGTGGTAAACATGGCCATCCCAGGATGGTCATGGCAGCCTCAGAATGAAACAGCTGAAGTAACTTCAATGGAGCCTGTCTATTCAGTGCTCCTAATGGAAGAGTCATAGTGGTATTTTACTGAGGAAGGCATGAAGTGTTTATATCTATACATCCCAAGGTTTTAGTGTAACATGAAAACAAATGGGAAATAATTTTTAAAAATCACTCAAGTAGAATTTGGCATAAAGCTTTCTAGAGGTTTCCTTGTTGCTGTGTATTCAAGACATTTAATATGTCCGTGCTAGAAAAATATTTTGCTCAAAATTTTTGTACTTCGTAGATTATCAGTATTCTACATAAAAAGGCAATTTTCTAATATAAAAATGCAAGGTGAATTAAGAAAAAAAAAAAATTCTAAGTGAGAATGGTGACTTTGTCTTTCATGCTTAAACTGGGCTCCGCAAATGCCACGCAATGATCACACCAGCTTACATACTCTCCAACAAACCCATTCATACCTACACAAAACGAGGTACTGCTAATGACAGTGACAGAAAATGATAACTAATCTCGTTTCTACTTTGAGTCATTTTTCTGTGGTTAATAAATTATATCCATAACAGTGTTAATAACTTATGGTACAGTGCCATTGCACTAGTTTGCATTTGTGATGAAGCACTTCATATGGCATTATCTATGCCCACGTACACATGAGGAGAGACCACTAGTCTTCTCATACAAGAATCTAATGCTGGCATTTTGACAAATCCTCTAAGAACTCACTGCCCTCCACTTTGTGCTTCTCACCTCTGATAGAGCAGCACAGAACTGTGGGCAATTCACTAACTTGAATATATTTAATAAAACAGGCACTTTTAAACCTGCCTGTGTAGGAAAAATATACAATTAGTTATTGGTTAGGAAAATACAGGAAACATTCACATCAATTTAGTCATCTGAAAAAGACACTGTTGGACCACATCTTCCCGCAAGCTCCCAGAGAGAAACAGGAAGATTTAGATCAACTGATGGACTTTTGACCAAGCATTTATTCTTAAAAAAAAAAAAAAAAAAATTAAGACAAAATAAATGTATTTTAATTTAATGTGACAGATCTTTAAAGAAATGGACTACCGAAAAAAAAAAAAAAAAAAAAAAAAAAAAGGAATAACTTAAATTCCTAAGAAATCCAACCACTGCAGCACCAGTAGGATAAACAGATGATAAAAATACTAAGCATGCTTCAAACAGCAGGAAAAAAAAAAAAAAAAAAAAAAAAAAAGACCTCACATGTTTAAATAGATTCTTTTGCACACATACACAAAACAAAAAAAAAGAGTGCAAAATAATACACAAACATCCCCAAATCAGCATCCTGTAATTTGCGGTTCTGGTAATTTCAGATGCTGTCTTCAAGTATAGTTATTAGGCAAGGTAGTTTTTGTCCATTAAAATTATGATATTAAGAAATATTTTTAAAATTATTTTTTAAAATAGTAATTATTGAAATCTCTCCAATAGCGTGATACTGTCATGAACAAAGCATTTCTTTCAAAAACTGTTCTTCTGTTTTATAAGTGCATCATCTACATAGATACATAAGTTTTCTACATGAAACACATGCCAACATATGCATGAAATACTCCATCTCTACACAATTTACTGGCTTTCCATCAGTCTAAAGTAAAAATTAACCCTAGAATACCAAAATTGAGAAAAATACCAAATTACATGCAGACACTGTGAGATAGAAGTGCAAAAGCTCACATGCTTTTATAATAGGTAGGAGCAAGATAACTTTGAGATGTATCACTAGAATGGTTTGCAACCAGTGAAGATAATTTTGATTATTTCCACTTCAAAACTTCCTATATTGGAGCCACATCACTGAAAACAATCTAACCATAGGGGAAAAGAGAGTGATGGGAAAACAGCCTGCTAGTATATCTGCTGGAAAAAAACAGAGTCAAGTCCTCTATAGATTAACTGAAGTCTTTCAGAAACGACGACTCCAATATTCCGAGCAAAAGAAATAAAATCTCCATAAAAATAACTTCACTTCCTTTTTCCTCTCCCTACCACAATTTGTATCATGTAGTTGAAATTCTCTACTGCACCACAACAAAGTACAATTTAAAATCTAAACGGTAACAGTGAAAACAAAGTTCCCACCACAGTATCACTGGCTTCCATACTGCGTAAAAAAAGGAGTTGCTCCCTCATGGCAATTTGACAAAAGAGTGACAAAAAACAAGAATATGAATAAAGCTTTAAGGAAGCATTGGTTCAACATTTAACAACACATAAGTAGATATTTCATTTTTTGTTTAGGTCTATTTTGATTAGAACTAATAAATGGCTGATTTTCCTTTGGTTGTTTGCAACAACAACAAATCATCCAAGGAGCTTTATTTTTTATTCCCCTCTTATACAGCATGCCAACGACTGTCTCATTTTATGAATTAGCATTTAAAACTATTGCAGGTTATCTAACAAGCATTCAGATTCAGTAGTACTTTTGACAGCAGTAAGTAGAGAGTCTTTTAACATCTTGAACACATGTGCTTGAAAAAAGTAGTTACATCAAAGCAGTTCAAAGACTGAAGACAAAAAAAAACAGTTAAAATCCAGTTTGCTGTGAGACAATTTCAGTGTGGTGTAAACAGCCTTTCACAACTCCCCATGGGAAACGTTGTAAGACTATGTTCAAAATGAATCAAGCATATTTATAAAGATCATGAAGTGGTCAAACGAATTTGCATTTTTGGCAGATTCGCTCCACAGATACTACTTGCTGCAGTCTGTAGAAATCTCAAATCTCACATCAGTGTTGCCGATAGTGCTTTATTATTTATTACATGTTATGCTAAGTACCTGTGAAAGGGGACATTCCTTGGCCAATGAACTCTGATTCATATCCTTCAGTAAGTCCTTCAGAGCATTTCTTACTGTCGTGTGAGACCACTGTTCAGGAGGCAAGTCTTCTAGTTTAGGGCAACTATTTGAAACACAGATTAGAAAAGGGATTATTACAAGATTGCATCCTGCTGCAGAACATTCCTTTAAGACAGACAGATTTCATTTTGCGCATCAAGCAGATGCATCTGGAGATTGCTCTCGGTCTCCTGATTGTTCCGATTAGTTAATTACTTTATACAACACATCTGCTGTATTGATGCATGAATTATACATCAGCTGCATGTGGCGACTATTTTTTCATGTTACTTCTACCTTCCTGCTCTGATGCGCTTGGTAAAACAATTTAAGGTGTAATGCTTTCTCACGACTGATCATGAAAAGCATTAATATATTAACCATTTTCTCTTTTTTTGTTGCCACGAAATTTAAGAAGCTAGACAGCAACAATAAGTGTGAGCAAGTCATTCTTTTACAAAATGCACACAGATGGTACTGTTCATGATATGCAAAAATATTTTTCTCTTAAGTAAACTTTATGTAAAATGCCTTCTTGTAATGCATCATTTAATTGACTAAAATGCAATATAGTTTTAATGAGATATCCAAAGAAAATCTATGTATCAGAGCTATAAAAGTTTTCTGCAATAGTATGCTGTAAGTTAAAGAATTAGGATAAGCCTTTGTACTTAGAGCATACAGCGCAGCGGGAGTTAAATACAAGCAACACTAACCAGAAGAGCAGAAAGTAACAGTTCACTTCCCAGAGCTGGTATTCAACTTACCTGTGTAACTGGATTTTCAGTGTGACCACATGATACACATCTTGCAGCATGTCTGCTACTGTAGCATCAGGGGCATCTGTCACATAGGAAAGTGGAACTGGATTCCACTTTCCAACCTGGATAAGTCCTGTGGGATACATATAAATATACATATTTATTTATTTATTGAAGGGGAGGGAGGGCAAGAAGAAAAAAAAAAAAAAAAAAGTTATTTACCCATTAATTCTTAGGAGCAAAAAGAAATATCTAATTTTAATAAGGTCATCACTTTTATTTCTAGTCTTGGAAATCTGGCACAATAGACCATTCGAAAAGCAGCTCCCCAAAATTCAACCCCACTTGAACATCACCATGGATGCTTTTTTATCTATATTATGAAATTATAGAAATGCATTACAGTAGAGAACCTTTTAATATGTATAGAAGCATATTTTTCTCAAGTACCCGTGAATTCAATAGGACATGATATAATAGCTCCCAGTCTTAATAAATTATAAAGGATTTTGCAAGGACTGAGTTGAAAATAATAATCGTACTTTGCAGTCTATAAAATGACAATGAACAAAATAAAAGAAACAGAGCTGGATATTCAGTCATAAATGCAAGTTGACTCTCAACAGTCCATCTGCTCAAATATGCTTTACACTTCCTTGTGGATCCTCAGTGGAGCAGATTATTAAGGTCAATAAGCATACTAATGATTCAGTTGAAGTCTTTTTTTCTTTAAAAAAAAAGAAAAAGAAAGAAAAAGAAAAAAAGAAAAAAGAAAGAAAGAAAAAAGACTCCACCTCAATATTCCACATGAACAAACTATGCATTAACTAAACAAAAAAATGCATTAAGGAAAGAAACAAAAAGATGAAGATAGAATCTGCTAGAAGTTTAACAAGTGAAACTTGCATCTCATTCCTGAAAGAAATCCTGCTTTTCCCTAGAGCCCCTCAAACTAACACAATTCATCGTACAATTTCATCACCTTATTTACCTTTAGCTTGGGCAGCAGAGCTGTGAGAATATCCAAGGGATAGCAATGCCATTTCGATCAGTTGGTTGAACAGCATGTCCTTCCTCACCAGCACAAATTCTGCATGCTCCTCCTTAGAATCGTACTCAATGGCATTTTCATAATGTTCCACTACACAGAAAACTGGAAGCATACTTCCTGTAAAAAAAAAAATAATAATAATAATTTCATGTATTAAACTGAAGTAATAGTAGAGTATGTGGGTCTACAAAGCGTTATGTAAATAAAACCTGTATGAACAGGCAGATGAGGCATCAGGAATCATCACAAATATTTGATAAACATATTCCCGGAGTCCTTTCCCCTCAACCTCCTTCAAAAAGATAAAGTTCTGCAAAACATCGCTCTCTATGAAAAGCAGAAATGCAAAATTTATCTTCCTTGACAGGATACAGATGAAAGAATTACCTGCTATAGGAATCACAAGGTTAACTGAAGAGAAGTTGATTCTCTCTGTCCTGCCTGATTTGTTGTGAGTAGCAGGCAGCACGAGAACCTAAATACACACTGCAGATGTCTTCAGTGTGAGCCATTTTAGTACCAGCCACATAATTTTGTTCGTTAACACTAAAACTTTCTCAGTTCTGCCAAAAATATTTCATTACCTTCAGCATCGACAACAAATCACCTCGCATGTTATACATTCACTCTGAAAAGGGCACCCGAGGAAACAAGGCAAAAGTTAACGCTAATTCATGCCTCATTCATTGAGTACACTTGAGCACCACTTTCACTCGCATCTTTAAGAAACAAATCATGATTTCAATGCCATTTTAAGGAGCATACCTGCAGTTTGAGCTTTTTTTCTGTTGCTTCATATACGCGCATTCAACATTCCTGGTATTCACTGCTATTTTGGTATGCCTGAAACCAATTACTAATTTCCAGTTCCGTAGCATCTCATGACAGACCCTTCCCTCTGCCTCTGCTCTAAATATTAAGCAAACAGCCTCTTTCCTTTTTTTTTTTTTTTTTTTTTTTTTTTTTTTTTTTTTTTTTTAAATTTTATTTTATTATTTTTAAAATTCCTTCTTGACAACAGGCAGAATTACTAACCAACAACCCAGGCTGTTTTAGGGAAGACGACGTCCCTCCCAGCAGCCAGATTTCCAGACTTGGAGAAAACCACCCCCCACCCATGGCCAATAAAGGACACCTTATCCCACTGCCTCAGGTTCAGCCCTGTCCCAGGATAGAATCTCCCAGAGACAGAAAACGAAAGGGTTAAAAGCAGATGTACCGAACCGCCTTATGGCAGCCTGCCAGAGGGGTATCATCTTTAGCATAAATGATGACAAGGGTTATTTTAACAGGGCACCCAGGAACTCCAATTAGTCCTACAATGTTAATGCCTCTATAACCACTGCCCTCTAGACTGACAGAGCCTCCTAACCTGCTCTGGTGCACAAGGCATCCTGCAGCTGAGAGAGGAGATTTACTGTTGACAACAGAAATGCTTTAAGATCACGTCTGTTGATTTGTGCTCTAACATACAGCAAGAAATCACAGTAAAAAAAGATACCTTTTAAGCTTGTATATTTAAACTACATCTGCTCACCAGAGAGTCAATCTTTGGCAAACAAACCCCTTCAGGCTTGCAGGAAAAGCTCACAAACTCACTCCAATTTGCCCAATAGGCTCAGCATGAAAGACAGGACTAAAAGCTTGCCAATTTTTAGGCAGTGCAGGAAGGAGAGTTTTTTCGGGTTTTTGTGTGTTTTTTGTTGTTTGTTTGTCTTTTTTTTTTTTTTTTTTTTAAATCTCACTGAGACTGGTCAGGAAGGGAAAAAAGACCAAAGCAAAAGCAGTACATGCAAACTGGTGATTTCTTCATTGCTTTTAATTAAGCTGTAGAGAGCTTTCCAAAACATACACACGTACTTCATCTGCAAAAAGGTTTTGGTTCTTTCCTCTCCCTCCCACCTTCACACTCTCACAATTGATGTTTCACCTACTAACATCTGTCTGAAAGAAAGGACTCAAAATTCTTAAGTAGTTTCACTGCTAATACCTGAAGATAAAAAGTAAACAAAGCTTCATTTTAGCAAACAGGGCATACACAATCAAAAACAGCCAAGACAGATTTGTCCTTTTCCTTATCAGTTGCTACAAATCAATTTATGATTAGATAAAGCTAGCAATGCACAGGTACTGCATTGTGTGCAGCACACTTTTTGACATGTATGCAGGACTTAGAGTATTCTGAAAAAATGTACTTTAAACAGCACAGGAGAAGCTCCTGGCCAAATTCCTATGTCCAGCATAGCTTATCAGAGGTGGATCCTGGTAGCGCGACACAGGTCTCATCTGACTACAAATCAAGCTACTAAATCTTTTAGCAAACTGTCACTCGTGTCCTTCTGTTAATGTGAAAAATGTTGTACAGGAGAGCACAACCTTAGCTGGCTGATCTCTCCTGCTAGTACTTGGCAAGACCTCCAATTGCAGCAACTCCATAACCTTCTAGTATTAAAGGGGAGAGCACTGGTCAGTGCTCGCTGCTAAAAATACAGTATGATTTAAACCTGAAAGCAGTGTTAGAGCTTTTGCTGAAGGTTTATGAGTCTGTGTAAACAGCACGTCTACCATAAGGAGCAGTGAAGTCTGTAGAATCCTTGTCTAAAACTGTCCTGGCATTAAAGTTTGCTGTGCAAATATCACATAATACCAGAGACAGCTGAAATCTCCTATTTAGGAATTTATGGAACTTATATGTTTGCAGGCGTCAGAAAGTCCTTTTTATATAGCCCCACTGCTTCACTGTACAATATTAATGCACTCTGCTTGAAAAGCCGTAATAAATTATATTTTTAATGCTCTTACCCTGGCTTTCTTAAGATGCGTACATTCTTGGCAAACAATCAATAAATAGGGTAATCATGAGCAGAGGCCAAAGAATTTGCTGAAGTGCTGTTTTGCCATTTTTAATAGATAAAGATCTAACAATACGGACTGCTGTGTCTGTTCATCTCAGGATCAATATATTCTTTGTTTTCGCCAAAGCGAGGAAAAAAATAAATGATTGTACGATAAATGTTATGCATCAGACACAATGAAATTCCTCTGCCTTCTAACTTTGTGCGTTTAATAGTCTTGGTTGCATTTTTCACTTAGCTTAGCAAACGCAAGGAAAATCTGGATTATAAACATATACCAATTGTACAAAAGTAAAGGCTGCTTTAATACAAATGCAAAATTACATACAGTATGTTTCTATTTAAATTAGCAAGCCTGCAGAACGTGGTCAAAAAAGGGGTTATATATTTCAGTATGCGAAATTTATAGATTTTTGTTCACTGAAAGTATTTTTAAGGCAAACAAAAGCCATTCACATACAAACAACAGTGATTCTAAACGTGTCTTATCCTTGTGTAAATGTCTAATTACAGCAAACCAGCCACTGAAAAATATGACACCCAAGTTGTTCATTGCTCAATAATGAATTGTACTTAAGAAAATAAACTGTGAAGATTGACATCATAAATGACTTTTCCAATGTGATACCTCAAGATTTCCACACTCGCTTTTTAAAAAAAAAAAACAGAAACTTCCAACTGTTATGGAAATACTGCTATCCTCCCAAGATTGTACCATAATTCAGAGGAAAGGCGAGAATTTGTTTTGGGGGGTTCAGTCTTTATTTGTACAGATTTCTGCATTTCTGAGCCCAACACATACTCTAAGAATTAACGCTTTATATTGCTTCTATTTCAATGTAGGAATTTGCTTTAATCAGGACAGCTAGCCTTTACCTTAGCAAAAATCAGACTCCACCCTGTAAAGCAAGATGCTCCACCCAAGCATGAAGCTTACATTTCCCAAATGTGATTTATATCAGAGTTGGGAATATATAGTATTTTAGAATGGAGATTTAATCCTGAAATATAAATGAAGTAGAATCTACAAAAGTATGCTTCCCCCCACAAATATTATAATTCATATTTCTCAAATGCAGAATTAAAAAAGTGTTACCTTTTCTAATATTAGTTTTCATCAGGTGTCCAGAGTGTTTTAAAGGCACTCCTTGCATTTTAGTTCCTGTACTTCCAAGTCTTCCTCTTCCTAATGGGCTCCCATTCTGTTCCAAGCGCGCAATTTTGGCTGGTGGACCCTTCGGATCGCTTACATTGTTAGACATTTCTGAATGTTCTTTCCCCTGAGTTGCCTCGTTCAAATGATCCATACTCAGTCCCGCCTCTAAAGATCACCTGCCATGATTCAAAAAAAATATATGTTGTACACGTGTGCGCATATGTATACGTACACAGCCTGCACATGTACAGAGATGTATATGCATCATAAGCCTATAAGGAAGAGCAAATAACTATTTTAAACAAGGCAGAAGATGCCTTAAAAAACAAAAACAGAAACAAACCAACAAACTTCTCAAAAAAAATGACCCCAGTTTATAGAGACATTAATCACCATAATCCGATTATTTTTTAAAAGCCAACTAGAGTACCTCTTTAACAAAACCTTCCTAAATATTCTTATAAATCTGGCAGAGACTAAGACTCATAGAAATGATGACGTTTGTCAAGATACATGCTCCAACACAGCTATTGTTACAAATCGCACAGGAAGATTTGTTATTAATCCTGGGTGATTTTATTGTGTTACAAAAAACGAGAGGGAGAGACAGAGAAAGAAAAAGATTCCAGTGAAATTGTACTTAATCTACTTGATAAAAAAATGGATGCACAACAATAGAGAGATTGTTCAAACTTTAGCTGAGGAAGCAACAGATTTATTAGTGAAGTAGAACATTGTCCATTTACAACTTCACTCCCACACTTTAAAAATAAAAACTAGAAGAGAATTTAACATTTGACTTCAGAAAACAGCGGTGAGAGGCGGTTGCTTTGAGTTGCCCAATTGATTTTTTTAGGAAAGTTCAACAACTTCTGCAAAGTTTAAGATAAGCATATGAAGAATTCTTAAGGCATTAGGCTTTCACTGTTAAATAGAGCAGTCTCTTATTTTTAATTTTTTTTAAAACTAAGAGGAAGAAAGGCAGCATCTCACAAAGCACAGTGCTGAAAAAAAAAAAAAAAAAAAAAAATAATCACAATTTCTACAGAACTTTTGAAAGCCTTAAATATAAAGAATCTCTTGGTGATGTGAAGTTACCTACTCGCACAAATATACAAAACCCAAATTCAGAAGTAATTTCAATAACAAATTACAAAAAGGCGTATGTTAGCTTGCCTGTATTTCTCTTTTCACAAACTTTCGAAACCACAGTCCATGAGTAACAATTCCAGCTAAGTCACTAAAAATCCCCAACGCCTAGAACATAACGCAGCAGGTTTTGAGGATTTTTGCCACTCATCAGAATCTATTTTACCAAGTATAGGGGCCATCAATTGCTGACAAGCAAGACATCTTTCAGGTTATGATTTCATTCATCAATACTGTTACGATTGTCAGGGATTTTACCCTGCCTTTCTCTGACAGAGAAAGGAGTGACTGCGCTGACAATTACGCCATGCGTATAAGATAATCACTAAGGACAGGTGACTAGACATTAATTTATGAACTAGTTTTTACATTACTGAGTGCAACTACTAATACTGGGGAAGTTCTGTTCAAAAAGACTGGTGTGAATCTGATAATTGCTACTTTCTTTCAGTTGCCTAGTAATTCAGTACATTTTCCGCACATTTCATCGCAAAGCTATTAAAGCATAAACGTCTCAGGAATTTTTCATATATGCTATTCTATGCCATTGATATATACGGCAAGGACAATTCTATAAGTTGCTTTTTGTCGTGTGAACACTGCATTGCTTTTCCCGATAGAGCGAAGAAGGAGGTAATATATTAATCTGAACGTTTACAAACAACCTAAAGAATGCCAGAGAACAGCCAAAGTTTAGAAAATCATTATTTTTCCTCACACTCTAAGGTTTCCCATTCATCTCGATCCCATCTGCTTTAGGTCGCATGTTTCATTAACGGAAAACATGCTTATTTTAGCTGCTTTGGGATGAGTATTCCCTTTTTACTGTGTTAACTGCAGTCCAAGGAGAGAATTACAGTCCCAAACCCTTAACATCTTCTGACATTTCTGACGATGCTGACGTGCTACAGAACTGCTTTTCTGGTCCTTCTCAAGAATAAGAGGATTAAAATTAAAAAATAAAAATAAAAGGGGAAGGACGATAAACAAACAAACAAAAAAAAGCTTCACATAAGAAAATCCTCATCACTTTTGGCAACTTGGGAAGTACTCTAATGCACCGAAGCTCTTTGCTACAAAAAGTATCTAGTCATCATGAGTCAGAATCGCACTCCATCATGTACAGTGCATAAAAGTGATAGATCGCCGCTCAGTTACTGCCCTGACTGCAACCCAACCACCAAATGGGTCATTTCACTCGGCCTTGGAATACCCACCCATCGGCATCCTTTCCCCGCTTAGTCATCTTGTAAAAAGCTTTATGTTACAAAGCAAAATTACATGCACATAAAACACCTAATTTACTCATTTAAACTCCATGCCCAAGGCTAAAGTTCACTGAAACCTCAGCGTGGAATAGTGATGAGCACCAACCAGCGGGGCCTGCCCAGGGAGAGGGCTGCAGGGAGCAACTATTCTCCGCTCCGCTGCCAGGCCGACTGTCCCCGGCTCTCGCATTCAGGCATCTCTCCCAACTACAAGTTCTCAGCACGGGCGTTCGGGGCCGAGCACATTTTCGAGGCACGGTTTCCCAGCGCCCGGGCACACCGCGCAATTTCTGAATGGGAACCGGCCGGGGTCCCCTTTTGTCGCGACGCTATTCTCCCGGTTCTTTTTCTCCTCCCGAACCAGCCCCCTCACCGTTCGTTTCCCCTCCTCTTCCCTCCCTCCCCCATAAAACCCCATAATCACATTTGAGAGAGGCTCCGCACTTATCCGTTCCATATGGCTCTCGCGATCCAGGCCAAGCTTTCGCTGTGACCTTTTAAAGAGACAAAGAAGCAAAGTACTTATCTAGAAACAGAAACACTGCAGTTTTCGGAGTGAAATTAGCAAAACCGACCCGAAACTCACCACTTCAAAACTTGACAGCATATAAATAACAAAAACAAAGGAGGTTTCCTTTGCAGCCCGAGCTCTTGAGAAGGAAGAAGTTCGAGAGTGATGTTTTCCTAGGTCCCCCCTTTCTGGGGGGTGCGGGGGGCAGCAGACCTGAGGGCTACTTCCCCTAATATTCTTTTTTTGTTGTTGTTTTTTTCTCTTGTTTTCTTGTTGCTATTTTCCTTTAGGCGGGGAGGGGCAAAAATAGGTAGCGAGAAACAGAGTAGCCATGAGCAAAAATGGCAATGGACAAAAAATAAAAAAAAATAAAAAAATCTATATTAAATATCTTTTGAGAGAGCGGCAGAGGAAGGAGCTGAAGAGCAATTGATCAGACAAGTGCTCAAAATTCAGAATAAAAAATAAAAATAAAAATAAAGTAGCAGGTTTAAATGGAGGTGGGAGGTGACTTAAGTCTGGCTGTCCTTTCAAAAATAAAACCAATGCAAGTGAGAGAGGGGGGTATTAGGAGGGGAAAAAAAAAAAAAAAAAAAAAGAAAAAAAAAATCAAAGCCAAAAAAAAAAAAAAAAAAAGCAGCTTTTCTATCCAGTGTGAAGAGCAGAAAGTCTACTTCTAGGTTGTCACTTACACTATTATTCTCCAATAGGCACCCAGAGGAGCAGCACACACAGAAGGAGCCCGCTCCCCTCCCCCTCCGCAGAAATACACACCGTAACAGCCCCCAAACTTTCTGCGGAAACCTCAGCCTCGCAGATCGCTACTGGAGATTAAAAAAAAAGAAAAAAGAAAGAAAGAAAAAAAAAAAAAAAAAGTGTCGAGAAAATCGCAGGAAAAAGACACTAAAACGCCACTTTTAATCTCGCCTTTGCGGTCCCGGGAGGAAAGAAAAAAAAAAAAAAATGCAGAGAGGAGGACCTGTCTCCTCTCATTTACCGGGGGCTGCTGTGGGTGCGGGGGGAGCGCAGAGAGAGGAGGGAGAGAAAGCGCGGAGGGAGGAAGGAAGCACCCAGCAGCACCACTACAAAAAGTGACGAGGTTGCACTCCCTGCGAGTCCAGAGCCGGGAGAAATGAGAATGGGAAATAATAATAATAATAATAAAATGTTTTTTTAAAAAATCACGAAAAGATCAGTGCTTTTAAAAAAATAAATAAATAAATCGGACTCCCTGTCTGCAAAGCAAAAGAAAAAATAATTATAATAAAATAAAAATAAAAATCTGGGAACTCCGAGAAGAGTTACTAGCGAGATGGGGGGTGGGAGGGAGAAAATATCAAATAGAAAGATTGCAAAAAGCCAAGAACAACAAAACCCAAACCAGCCAAAAAAAAAGAAAAAAGAAAAAAGAAAAAAAAAAAAACACAACAACAACAACAAAAAACAACTGCACACACACACACAAAAATACTCAACCACAATAATAATGGAAAAAGAATAATAATGGCTGGCTTTGTTTTTTTTTTTGTTTTTTTTTTTTTTTTTTTTTTTTTGTCTCCCTCCCTTTCTGCCTTTTAGTGCTCCCTTCCCCTGGCTGCCTGGGCACGGTGGTGATTTAGGCCGGTTCGGTGTTGTTGCTGGATGTTACACGGATATCTGTGTGTGTGTGTGTGTGTGTGTGTGTGTGTGTCCCCGGCCGGAGCTGCTCGCTCCGCTCCCCCCCCTCTCCCTCTCTGTTTCTGTCCCCATTAAATTATTAGTTGACTCATCACTACTCCTCCTCCTGCTGCTGCTGCCGCCGCCGTCCCCTGCTCACAGCCTCTCCTCCTCTCCGCTACCGCTCGCTGCCGCCGCTGCCGCTGCTTCTTCTTCCTCCTCCTCATTTTAATACAAAATAACACCGAGGCCACCACCGGCTTCTTTTTTTTTTTTTTTCCCCCCTTTTTTTTTTTTTTTTTTTTTCCACAGCCCCCAAAGCGGGAGGAGGAGGAGAAGGACGACGACGACGCAGCCTCCCTGCTGTTGCCCGGAGCCCTTCCCTGGCGGCCCCGGATCATCCGACGCGTCCTGGGAGGGAGAGAGAAAGTGGCAGAGGAGCAGGAGGAGGAGGAGGAGGCGGCGGCGGTGAAGCCGTGGGGGAAGGGAGCCGGGAAGCGGGAGGGGTAGGGGGCAGAGCGGAGGGGCCGCAAAGGGGAGCGGAGCGGAGCGGGCCGGGCTGGGCCGGACCGGGGGGCGGGGGGGGGGGAAGCCGGTAGGTGAGCAGCGGGGGGGGCCGAGGGAAGAGGGTGTGCGGCTTCCGGGCGCGCACGAATTTGCAGGCAGCTGGGTGCGGGTGAGGCGGCCCTTACTGCGCCGCGCCGCCACAATGCCCAGCGCGCAGCGCCGCGCAACGCCCGCAGGCGGCAGATGGGGGCCTGCGGCGGCGGGAGGTGGGGGGAGAAGAACGTCGGGGAAGGGGGGGAGAGGAGGGAGAGGAGGAAGAGGAGGAAGGGTGGGGGTGAAGGCTGAACAATATCCTGCCGGCGTGCTCGGCGCGGCCCCCGCCCCGCCTCGTGGAACTGTGCGGTGGGCAGGTGCACGGCGGCAGTGCGGGGCTGCGGGCGGGGGAGCAAGCGGGGTAGGAAGTTTGCTCTTTCCCCTCCTAGTTTTATACCGACAGAGCTGAAGGAACAGCAGCGGGCGCGCTGCTAACGCACAGCGGAACCCCCATCCCCCCGCCGCCCCCTTTCCCCTCCCCAGACGTCCGGAGAGGTCACCCCGCAGCGCCCCGCCGGGCCCCGAGGCTCCGCCGCCGCAGCGCGGACAGGAGGGGATGGGCACCGCCGAAACCACGGAGAGGGGCGAAGCGCAGAAGATGGTAACGTGGGGACAAAATCAATAGCTGCCAGCCAGTCGTAGGGCTTCCCACAATGCACTCGGGAAAAAGTAACCCAACTAGACAAACTTGAACGCAACAAGTTTGTACAAGCCGCGAGATAAGGGGGAAATTAAACTTCTTTATTGATAAACTGCGCTCTGTTTGCCTAGGCTGTGTCTGGAAAGGAGAGTTGCATCATCAAGCAAAGAAGGGATGAACTGTGCTACACAAGCAGACACACAGCCAGAATAATTAGGGTAGCAACTTAAGAGAATTTCTGAACTGCACATACAAAATTGAAGGAGCAAAGGTGGAGGGGAGTGGGAAGGGTGATGAACAGAGCATGGCCTCTGCACAAAGAACAGACAAATCAATACATATAGGAAGAGCTAAATTATCACTATGCACGTTACTATAAAACAAGGGGAATGTATTAGGGCTAGGTAAAGAAAGAAGCTGACGTTTACTGAAATAAACACAGACAGCATGGAGAGAAAAGGAAATTGGTAATAGGGTGAAATACATGAAATATTTATCATATCTAGCAAGGCACAAAATAGATTATAATCTCAGAAGCAGAGAAATGAAATGCTCAAAAATGAGTGCAATGTTACATAATGCTGTTAGTCAAAGCAGAGAAGTGGAGGTGGAATGCATAGGAAACATGAAAAGTTGTACAGATGTTGCACGTCCTGAAAAAGGTTACTAAGACTGCTACCGAGAGTGCTGAAAGGGGAAAAAAAAAAAAACAAAAACAAAACAAAAAACAAAAAAACAACCAAGAAACAGGTTTCACAAAGAAAAACAAGGGAAAATGTCAATGACACCTTCCATAATATGTGATCAAGGGATAAATGCCTTGCGGCTGTTTATTTAGAAACCTATCTTTTTCCAAGACGGTAGATAGAATGTTAAAAAAATAAATAATAATAATAATAATGAAAAAAGAAACAGAGAATAATTATTTCCCAAGATATCTGAGCCTTTGGAGGAAAGATAGTGTTAACTTGAAGAATTAAAACTTCACAAGCACAATGGAAAGTATCAGCATTGTATCGGTTTTGATCTGTTCCAGGAAAGCCTGATACAGTCATCTTCAGCAGCAGCAGCACCAACCACGGAGGAAGAAAAACGTGAAAGCAGAGGGGGTTTGGGCTGGGCGACTGCTGCCTGCAGTGCAATGGACAGAAGAGGCAGTGAGGGTAATTGGAGTGATGCAGAGCTGGTTAGAATAGAGCAGATATTTAAAAATAATGATTTGGAACAAGATTAGGGACTTGAGCACCACCCTACAAAAGTGATTACCGGATACGACAATAACAACAACCAAGAAAACAAAAAGATTAGAATCTGCTCTAAAGTAACTTCTGCTTTGGTGTCAGAGACCATTCCCTTCACGGTCAAAAAGCCCTTAAAATGTTCAGAGTTTAGCAAAGTGATTAATCTAAAAAGCAGAGACGGTGAATTAAAGGAGCAGGGAGATAACAATCTGATAATACAGGAGCACAGAAGGCCTAATAATGATATTATTATGCACACTAACCAAACACTGACAAACAAATATTCTGTTAATTATATAATCATGCATATGCTTCCTATGCTTGAGATAAATGATTACAGAAAATCACTCTCTTCTTGAAACTGCATATATGTGCTAAGCCCTGTAAACTCCCTGCAACATGGATTAATTTAATTTCTGCATATCACCTATGTCTGGGAAAGTTATTTGCCGCAGACTTGGCAGGCAGAGCGTGGAATGCAGGCTTTGACCAGCAGGCATGGGTAACTGCGGGCTGCTGTGTCCTGACGTACAGGCAGCAATCAGATCTCTCTTATCAATACCCAACTACTTGGAATAAACTCAAGATAAAGATATCTGATTTTCATTTGACCTACTCTAATTTACACTTCACTGTGTCAACTTTGATATTAAAATGTTCCATTAGAACAAAGATATTTATAATAAAAACATATATAAAGAAGAGAAGATGAATAGATATTGTCATGGATACGTATGCAGGCAATCATTTAAACATGCAGCAGGAGTAACATCATATTTTTTCATAGCTTCCAGTCAACAAACGGTGGACAAATATATGCTTAATAAAGCTTATCAACTCTTACTAAAGTTGCTGCATTGTATGTCTGATACGTAGATGTATCTCACACTAGGTTATGCTGAAATAAGACAAATAGTTAGAAGTTGGATTGCATTTCTTCAACCCCACAGTGAATTAACTGTCGAGCAGCAGTCTCAGTGGCTGCAAAACAAAACAAGTTCTCTGCTGTGGCATGGTGCCTCGGTGCCTTCTAAGGTCTCTATTCCAATCTTTTCTTTTTTAAAATAAATAAGGAAATATGGGCCCATGTCTTGAGGCTTGGCTCTTGGGCAAGGCGAACAGAAAGGACCTGGCAGCAGAGCAAAACCAGTATGGCTGTGTATTCTCTTTTATCAGATTTCTTTGGGGAGATCAGGCTGATTGGGTTTTGCATGTACGTATTTCTGACAACTCTGCGGCCATTTGGGTAATTCATCAGCTCCAGCCCATGCTGGAGGTGATGCAGAGGATTGCTGTAGCAGTAGGACCATCAAGAAATTCACTTTGCTGATGATTTGAACAGTATTTTTCCCACTGTGAAGTGACGTGTGAGTAGCAGTGATGCTAAACAGCAAGGCGATGATAATAACAGTCCCTGGCTTTCTGAAGGGTGTGGTAGTTTGCACCCTAGTGGTTTGCACCTTATTGCTAAGCGAGGTAGACAGAGGTATTAAGGGGGAAGAGTTCTGGTGCATCCTTGCTTTCCTTTCCCATGTCTATCTGTGCAAGCCTCAGAACAATGGTGCTGTGGTGCAGACTGAGTCC